TAAAATAAAAAATTGAGACAGACGTCGCATACATGGAACGAAACACAGAGTGGAATGGAGAAGCCACGCAAGGCAACTTTGGTTGGGAACTGATGTGGCAAGGCATGACAAGCATTAGGCTCGCCAGTGTCATTGCTCTTATACAGAAAATCTAGAAAATCATGACATTTTGAAAGCCAATGTAAAACGACAAATAGAATTAACTTTCATTTCAATATGTTAAATTAGTACACATCAGTCATAACTAAGTAATTAAACACTTTTAATTGTTAGAGATTATACACAATTAGATCACTTAAGTTCATTTTCAATTAAAGTGTTACAACCTTTTTTGCCTTTTTTAGATTAAAAAAGGTTAATGGGGTATCTAAATTTTTTGGTGGGGGCACTAATACTATTTCTTGTATTAAAAGTTAGATAATAACACTGCTTGTTTTTTTTAAATCCATTGGAGGATCGGCCTCTATGTATTCAACTGATTTCTAACAAGTGTAAGGCCTTTGAAAGAAACTAGTTAATAGCACGGGAGTTTAGTGTTTGCATTTTGAAAGGACTATCTATGGACAGCATTTAGCGTTTTCAAAGTTAATCTACACCGTTAAAATTTTATCCAAAACACTAACACTAATCGAAAACGTAATTTCCAAACAGGAACATAGTATTTATGTAAACCCATATCGTAGATACAATACAACTTTTGAATAATAATGCTCGTATTGAGATTAGGAAAACAAATAGACTTTTTAAAGCTTTCACGGATAATTCCACGGAGAACTTTCGTCCTAAAAGAAATGAAAAACTGAAGGAAAAGAAAATGATATAGTCATGTCACCTCTACTTTTGTAGATCTTTTCATGTAGTTTTTAAATATGTAATTATTATTTTTTAATTTCATACTATTTTCAATATAAAATGATTTGAAATTAACTTCAGTCAAACATCATAACGCGACATCATAACGCGCTACCGAAACTTTATTTATGGACAGAAGGTGTATATTACAACTAAAAAAAGGATAATCCCTGTCCCCGAGATGACAGGGCAAATAGTAATGTGCATCTCTAGATAATTTTATGGTGAGTAGACTTTTGCCTTTACTGTTCTTTCCATGTTCTTTCCACTGTGAACTAGGATGTGATTAAAACTTGGTTGGGACATAAAATGATCTAGAGATGCACATTACTTTTCTTTTCTTTTTTTTTTGTTTAATCCGGTATCTAATGGTAGTTTTTGTTTTATTTTTTAAAAATAATAAACGGATCAAAATAAGAACCAAAATGGGAACCACCGGTGGAAACGGACCAAAATCATATCGGTCGGTCCCAAGAGGTTCTAAATCTGTTTCCTCTATTTTAGGAATGGCAATCACGTCCACCTGACTAAGGGGGCGCAATGGTAGACCCAATTGCCGGCCTTTATGAAAAATGTGCAACGCCGATTTCCAAATCTGTCCATTTCAACACCTGTTATATATCAGTCTCAGTCCCAACACACCCATTTGCAACCCCATTCCCCCCTGTTATGAGGTACGACGGCATTATAAGCTTTAAAAATATTGCTAGTGACATTTGAGAATCAGGGTAATCTGAGAAAGTTTGTAGTAGAACGAGGACTCAACTACAGTGACATCAGCTTTGTTGACATCAGCATATGCATAATGACGTTTTAGCATTGGAGAATAGAAACAATGTTCTTTTTAGAGTCATGAATACCCAAGGAAGATTGATTTGAGTGGTTTCAGAATGTCTGGGTGTTGTATCATGAACAAAATAGACACATCCAAAGATATTTGGGGGTAAAGGGAACAACTCACAAGTAGAAAAGAGAACGGAATAAAAAACTTTGTTTTGAAGAAGGAAGGCATCTGATTAATGTGATGGAAAGCATTGAGGATGGAATCAGAGTAGTATTTAGGTTGTGTGTCGGAATGTGATAAGAGTGTGGCAGTGTGCAAGTGGTGACCACTAAATGATGGTTCTTACATTCAGCAATCCCCCATCCCATTTTGTTGAGGTGTCTGGCCACAAGATAAACTTCTTTTTTA